AAACCCCCCCCCTCCCCCCCCCCCGTCGAGAAAGGTAACTTCGCCTCAGACCTTTCGAAAACCACCCACACGTCACGCACAAACATGTCTTATACATTGTGAAAGGAGTCACCTCGACGTCAATCATCACGAGCGACAACTACTTCTAGCAGAATGCAATGCCGCTGCGTTGTGTTACCGTAGCTCCTGCTTTCTGAAAGTGCCACGCTCTCTCTTTTGAGCACTTCGCACGCCAATTGACCCCGTCGTCTTGCCTAGGTATGCCTGTGAAAAAAAAACACGCACGGCACCAGCGTCGCGTACAGAAGCAGCCGTCAGGGTCTGTTCACGTCAGCTATTGCACAAACGTTGATGCCACACTTTGCATCATCGCCGACTTCATTGGCACACAACGAGGCAACGAGCCCGTTTCCAAAACGCCGTTTCGAGCACACGTTTCGATCCTCTTTTAAGCCTGGGGTGGATATCTCCCACCACGAGTTTGAAAGAAAGTCGCGGGTCCATGAAGACCGCAAACAAGGTCTACAGCAGTACCCGTGGAACCAGTACGGCAAGTGATTCGGCGGTACACAGGCGATGTTGGGGAAGCCAGACCCCTGCGCTATCAAAATTTCATTGGCTTGCGCTATCATTTTCTCATTGGCTCCTGATGAGATACTTCGGCTGGATTCCTTCCGCCCCTCACAATAAGTGCCAGCTGAAACGTTCCGTCCAACAGAAACCACCATCTTTAGGGTTGCCCAGCTGATGCGTATCATAGCTCACTTTTTCTTGTCCATGAGAGTTGCTGCGGAGGACCTATCCGCGCCGAACCCGCCCTTGGCCACTCCCTTGAAGAACGGGCCGTCAGGCAGAGGGTCCAGCGCGACTCCTACTCTCTCCCCGTTGTACTTGATCCCCTGCAAGTGCCGACGTGCGAAGAACAGTATATACAAAAGCAGCAACACATTTGGAAAAAAATAAGCACTCAGAGTTGATCTCTATTGGATTCCGTAACCTTCGGGTCCACTTTTTTCGTGTACCCTTTTGGGGTAAGTTAGCCTGTGACCACGGGAATCGACCGCGTCAAGTGTTGGATCAGTACGGACAGAAGAAGGTGCTGGGTATAGAGAACGGAACTGTTTTTAATGTGAAGACAAAACAGCAACCAACAAAGGTGAGAGACGCAATTGTGGCAGGAGGACCCCGCCAAGCGCTAGGAGCAGTGGTACTTCTCTACGAGCGTGCGCGTGTTAGTGGACAAGGACGCATGGAGCGGGTTGTGATGGAAAAAGCGTTCGAGAGTTTCTCGGGAACATGTAAAATAAACATGCGTGTTCCTCACAAGCACGCTTCGCCTCAGAGCACAACCCTGCTGGGCATGATGAGAAGGACAGTCCTTCTCAGACGGGGCCCCGCGGACATCGGTCGTGAGGCATACCCCTGGGGGGGTAACCCCGGACCAGCTTGCTCGCTCTCCTACCGACCGGTGTATATACATCAACGTGAGCAACTTTCTTGCGGTCACCAGTTCAACGGTTGTGGGGTTGTAGTTGGAGGTAGCTCGACATCAAAGCAACTATAATAGCAGGTTTCCAGCCCTCAGGCTACACTACGCGCCTAGGTCTATCCTACGCCTGCCTAACCCGCACCCACACCCACGCTTGGTAGGTGTGCATTGGGTAGGCCCAGGTGGCTGCACCGAGCTATTAGAGCACGCTTTGCGCGCGGCAACGTTGGCGTATTGTCGCCGCGCGCCCTCGTACCTTGCACACGGTGATTTCGCCGTCATCCCCCTCCACTGGCCCGTAGCCGGCTTCCAACACCAACATCTTCCCCGCACCCGACCTCAGCTGCGAGTACATCTCGCTCGCGTGATCCAGAATCAGGCGCTTTTGTCCCTGGGCACCCTGCGCTGTCCATCCCGCCTCGGTGCACACCTGACCAATGGCGTTCCACAACGCGGGGGCGGCGGGGTCAAGAAGGGTCGGGGCTTCTCTACTGTCCTGCTTCATCAGAAGAGAGCTTGCGGATGTACCGAAAAACTTACATTAGTGGAGAATATATTTTTTTGTTGCTGCTGCTGTTGTAACGTTAAAATTGGAAGTCCCGAATGCCCTCATCAAAGGTAAGACGTGAATATCCCTGGTAAAACACATCCCTGGTAAAAAAAGTAGCCCCAACATAAGGAACAACACATAACAACCAAGACAAGCACAAACGGATAAGGCCCAACAGACCCAGAGCCGCACCATGCCAGAAGAAAAAACGATCTAGAATCATATGTTTTGAAAGAGATTGTGTTCTTGCCAATCGTGATCGCAATTCTCCTTCAGAACGACAAGGACAACACATGGTAGCAGGACATCTAAAGATGCTTTTAGAAAGTCGTACCCAAGGTCCACTACACTATTACTGTTGGCGCATGGAATAAAGTCGTGACGGGAGAGAAACAAGAGCAGTGCTAGTGTGCTGTCGTCCCGTCAAACGGTACTGCATGCCACGAATATAGGCGGAGAGAGTCTGAGGAATATAGACCAACATTTGCGCAAAAAACGGGAGTGTTCTAAAGAACGGCGTAAGACAACCCATCTTATATAGAAACAACTCTACGAGAGCTTTGCGAAGCAGCTTTCGTTTGGGTTCCGCTCGCCGGCGTACGAAGCATGACCCCACCCCTACTCCGGCAAACGCAGGGATGATGACCAGCTTCTGGTTCATCCTTGTGAAATGTAGCCTGGGCTGGCGTCAAGCCCAGCTATCGCACCGTCCCTGCTCTGTAGGGATGCGAGGTCTATGGTCTACCGACTACGGAATGCTTTTACATGGGCACCCCCCCCCCCCCCCCC